TTCCTTCCTTCCTTCCTTCTTTCTTTCTTTCTTTCTTTCTTTCTTTCTTTCTTTCTTTCTTTCTTCTTTCTTTCTTTCTTTTTTGTCATACCAGGGATTGAACTCAGGCCCTTGTGCTTGCCAGAGAAGCACTATTCTACTGAGCCATCTGCCCGGCCCCATTAATCATTATTCTTCATACACACTTACTTATTGAAGGTGAATATTCAAGCATGTTTCTGGAAACTTATAAATAGATTAAACATTTTTGTGGATATCTGTTGGCAACATTATAGAGAACTTCATACTATGTGACCCAGTAATTGTGTGATTAGTAGTACATTAAAGAAGCAGTCACAAAAATTATTACCAGTGGCCATAAAATTAAATATCAAAAATGGTATACACTGTGCTCACTTTGGCAGCACATATACTAGAATTAGAATGATACAGAGAAGATTAGCACAGCCCCTGCACAAGGGTGAAAAGTGGCATACAGCAAAATAACAGATGAATGACCTAAGTAGATACTTCACAGAAGAAGTACAAAATAGCCAATAGGTCATGTGCGTGCATGTGCTCCCAAAGAGAAATATAAACTTCAGGTACTGCAAACAGCTACTCACAAAATTACATTAAACTTACACAAAGAAATCAAATGATAGTATGAAGGGTCCTCTATGTGTGTCGACTGATCAACGGGTAAAGACAACGGGGTATTTGCACTCCATGGAGCGCTTCTTGGCCGTAAAGATGGGCCAGTCATTTGTAGGTAAATGGATGCACCTTGAGTCCATAATGTTAGCTGAACTGAGCAGGACACACAAGCTATCTTCTATGAGAAACCAGACGTGTAAATGAAGAGCAAATACGAAGTAGATACTAGGAAGTAAGAAGAGATCTTTCACAAAGGGTGATGAGACCAAGGGAAGATAGCAGGTGAAAGGAGGGGAGAGAAAGAAACGAAACGAGAATTAAGATGTGTTGTGTCCTTGCAGCGCTTCTCCCAAGGAGTGCAGACATCCGGGACTGCAGACATGGCCTAATACAAAATGCTGTTTTAGGTGACGAGGTTGTTATGGAAATATAATAAGAAAATAATGGAAGCCAAAGTGGCCCTTTGTGACTGAGCCCCTAGGGCTGTCCTACAATTGCTCCCTAGCAATACAATGTGAACTTGTGCATGATGAGAACTGACGCATACAGCTTCCCTTCTTATCCAGTCAAAACTTCTTGCATGATTCCCCCCTCCCCCACACACATACACACACTTTTTTTCTTCCTACATCTATTGGTGTTGAGCCTAGGACTTCTGTAGAAAGCACGCCTGAAAGCAAGCCTAGCCTCCACTGGCCTTGAGACTCTCCAGTCATTACAAAGGACAGGATTTCCCTCCCCGTAAGGTCCTACACACAAACACACATGCCTATGCAGGTTGATGCACACTGTGCAATTACTGTGACCAGGCGTGAAGCTTCTATTCTTTATGTGATTCAGGTTTTGAAATTTATCCATCATAGAATCCAAGATTTCTTGAACCACCACAACTAAAAAACAACATGAGGAAATATCTAAGATGCAATGTAAAGATTAAAAAAAAAACTCAAGTAGTTAAGGCTGAAAAAGCCATAATTTTAAACTTTCATAAATAAAAATGAGGTCTGTGTGGAATGAAGATATTTTCTGACACACTTGTATCATATTCAGCATTAAAATAAATCCAGTGATTCCCACCATTACTCATACTGGCAGCACCAAAACACTTCCATGTATAGAATCTCTGCTTTGCAAGAAGCACTGTCCAAGGAAGAGCATCTCACTTAAATCCATGATTAGCCTAGATAGTCAATGCAGAAAATCAACTGTCATTCATTAATTTGCTCAGTGCATACAATGCAAGACTACTTGGCTCAGTCAAGCTCCAATTCCAGCAGTTCTAAGCACAGAAGAGAAAGATAAAAAAATAAAAAGGCCAGACCAATTTGTACGCTGAAGGTTGTGTGAGACTCTTATTTTCCCACCACAATAAACTGAGCTACACTGAAAAAAACTACATGATCATGAAAGGACTGCTCTACTTGTTGCAGATATTAGAAATAATGATGTCACTTTATTCTCTAGGGATTGGAGTCTCCCTCAACTTGGAGCTAGAGTCATTATTTGTATTACGAGATATAGGCAGCAAGTGACAGATTTCCATTCACACCCACTCCATACAACAGAAATGCAAAGCCTTCAGATGGTTCACTTTCTATCAGTGTAAACCTCAAGTGTATATTCATCTAAACAGGAGTTGACCATAGGAGTGTCTTCCACAATCTTCCTTGGTTTTCCTGTATAATTAAAACAACAAGAAAACAAGCAATGACAAATCTTCCAAATGACTATTTCTGATAGTTGCTAAGATCGACTAGGTGTTTAGAGACAGAGTTTGGACCCAAGGTCAGCAAATCTGATCTGTTAGTTTATTTCCAAAGCCCTTGGCTTTTCTCTCTTGCAGGAGCTAGCCAGGTACATACACCAATATACATATACAAAATGGCAGAGAAGTAGTGTTTTGGGGTACAGGACTGAAAACACCATAGAGACCACAGTCATTTCTGTATTGCTGTGCCTCAGACTAAAGGATGGAGTGGGCCATCCCTGGAAACACTCTAGCTCAATATTAACTAAAGGCCAGGGAGCTCTCTAGTGTGTCGGTTTCTCCCAAGCTGGGAAACATCACACCCTAAGTGCTCTCCTCTGATAGGAACAGGGGTGACACGGAGAAGGGAACAGCAAATCCTCAGTGGTCCCAGTTCAAATCCTCACCACGAAGTCACAGAACACAAAGGAGATAAAATATATTATGAACTTCAAATGCCTTAAAGGAGGAGGATTTGTTAAATGGACCTAGAAATCGAGTCTGATGTAGAAAACCCAGAATTGTCCATTAAGCCATTCTTGGGGATGGTCCTGTCTCTCTGACTCTGAACGTTCACAATCCCACCTGTAGCAAAGCAAGGCAACAGCTGGTAGAGATGCCTACACCATCTCTTTTCCCTTCTAGCCCACTTCTTGTCTGAGTATCTCCTTGGAAGACGCGAAAGCAGTTCTAAGTCATGCTTTGTTATCCATTTTCTTTTTAATTCAGGCTTTCATCATGGAACACCTTCTAAGTGCCACTCACAAGGACCCGTGATGGGGAAAAACCACCATACTATTTGTAATATACCTTCTGCAAGGACAGAGATGATGGCCATTTTTCTCATTACATTCTGTGTGCCTGGTCCCATGCCTACCCGTAGGATGCATTCATTCATTAGCGCTGTGAAAGGAATGAGCAAACACTTCAAACACCAGAGGAAAAAAGAAAAACCCGCTACGGACATATTACTAGATTTGCTTATCCCAAGAGTCTCAAGTGGCATGCATGGCCACCCCAGCCTCACAGAGGAGGAAAAGGCTGCACTTGCACGGCCAGTACCATCACAGAATTGTTTGCCTGGAGGGTAAAAGGTAGCTGTGTGTGGAGTGGGGTGAGAGCAGAGCGGAAGGAAAATATGTTGACTCATATCCTCCAGTAAATGTGTTTATTCCAACGGTGGCGCTGCTGCCAAATGTGTTGCAGAGCCAGCAAGACTTGGCTCTGGAAAACTCACCTGAAAGTCACAGGCTTTATGTCCTACTTCCAGCCCTTTCAGCCACCAGGCACGAAGTATTGGACAAAGTTAAAGATTAATTCCACATTTGCTGTGACTAAAGTGTCACTTCTTCCAGATAGGAAGGTAAAGGCATTTGTAGGCTGTCTCCCTTGCATAGCCACTGACATCTTTCCACTGCCACCAGGATGGCACTTTAATGCAAAAATAATCAAACTCAAACACTGGCTATCCCATTAACCAACCCAATCTTGCTAAGACAAAGTAATTATGACTTTGATATAAAGACAGTCTTACTTAGACCATCACTCATCACCTAGGGGCCCCTCTTTTGCTTAGCCCAGACCCTGAATGCCAGAAATCCCTTACAGTTCTGTTTAAGGTTACCTGGAGTGAAAACTTCAGAAAATTATAGGAAAGATTGAATAACTAAAAAGAATAAGATGCTAGTTTATGTACTGCACAAGCCAGGCTCAGTCAATAGATTCTTGGCTCTTTTGTCTAGGGCATAAATATCTAACAATAAAGTAAGTGAGGAGGTAAACTCTGTAATCTATATCTAAGTTACCTTGAAACCTCTGAGAAGCCACCTGGAACCAAAGACAGCACTCTAAAATGACTCTTTGATCTTGGCCAAATGGAGCACGGCTGGATCAGGGCCAACAACACAACCCTGATGGGTTTGTTCCCAATGAAGAGAAGGAAACAGGCTCCACACGCTCTGGAGCCTTTGAAGGAGGTCTTTCCTGCAGAAGCACAAGGGAGGCTGATTTTCTTGACACTGTTCTACATAAGCTGTCCCCGTTATTGAACTCGTGTCTCCTAAACACTCTTCCACCTCAACCTTATCCATCACTCCACTCTTGACCTGTTGCCATATCTCCCTTTTGCTGGTGCCCTGAATTCATTACCAAATCTTGTCCATTTTCTCTGGCATTGCAGATGCTGTTTCCTATGGTCATCCCTCCCTATCACACTCTTCTTGGTTCATCAGTGGAAATCTCGAAGCCAATCCTTTAGCATCCTTCAAGACAGACACCAAGCATCCTATAGCAATCATTCCTTATCTTCCTCCTGCTGCCGCTCCCACCTCCAGAGTTTATCATGTGCCCTTCCTTGCTCTCCTCACTTTTTATACCCAATCCCTTCAATCCATACCACATTCTATTGCAAGTACTAACGTTTTCAAAGTTGATCTCTCAGTTGATGATGAGGCCTTAGAGGGAATGTCAGTGTCTCACTCACTCTTGTTGGTCCCTGAGTGACTGAAAAGCTTATGGTACAGTCAGTCAATATTCAATGATTAAGTGGACAAAAGAAACTATTTCACTTGAGGTCAACAGTAACTGGATCACTGAGAGGATACAAGGTGTATACAAAATAGGTGAACACAAACATATTCCCCCAAACAAACATGGAGTCTGTTGGAAATCAGTGATGCAAGATGCAGGAAGGTTAAACCCCTACAAAACTGGGGTCATACTTCAGGCTTCTGGTTCAGGTCATAATGTGTATCTATGAGTTGCCTTACAATTCATCTTTATGACATGGATACAGACATTTATTTCTTTTAGCTTTCATCTAATGCTGAGCATATTATTTTACTCTTGAGCTACAAGATGAAAGACATTTACTTAACATGAAAATACCAAATCTCAAAGATCAGAGTAAATCAGGGCTCCTAGAGATAAGAAACTCATTCATTGCAAATGTTGCACTATTGCCTAGTTGATCTGCTTAGACCAGAATTGTTTCAAGGAGTCTTGTGATCAAAAATAAATGTTGGCAAGCGAAGAAGACAAAGAGGTGCATTTCTAAGTCATCGCTTATTGCAATGAAATTATGTTTCTTATTAAAGTCCCAAACAAACTCAAT